AGGGGGAGAGAAGGTGGTGTATAGTTCTACAGTTGGGTTCAAGTCGTTTAGTGAGCCTGTGCCCCTGGTCTGTGAACTTCACCAATAATTCTCAGGTTATGCCTCCCCTCGTAGGTGGGACAGGATGGCTTGAGTGAGCTGGGGTTGGGTCTTACCCAGCCGGAGTTTCCCTTACCCGAGTCAGTCAGGCTCATAACTCCCAGCAGATTAGGTTCTGGGTAACTCGTTCCCCTGACAAGCCTTGTTAAGAACAGTATACTCGGGCATATTTCAAAATGGTTCCTTTTCACCTTCCCTAAGCTGGTCAAGCTCCTGGTGGGAATTTCACAGTATTGCTGGTGCACCCCCACCCACCCCCATGACGAGGTACCCCTAAAGTTTTCAACTCTCTCAGTCGCCGGCACTGAGCCTCCAACAATTCATCAGTGACAGGTCGGGTTCCTTCCCCGGAACTGGCTCCCGCAGGGCTCTCTGCTCTGATAAGCAGTGACTCCCTGTTCCCTCCAGCCTTGGGGTAGCAATGTGCCGTGTCCCCCCTTTCTTATGGATCAGAATGAGATGTGGACTTTTCACTCTGCTCAGCGTTTTACTTGTTAGAATTGAGTGGCAACTTCCAAGCTCCTTACATGTGAAGCCGGAAACTGGATGTCAAGTTCAGATTTTTGTTTGTTTGTTCCTCTATGATTTGATCTCTTAAAAAACTAACAAATGTTCAAAATAGCCGACAACGCCTTAAAGACCCAAAGGTAACGTCACTGCCTGTCTAGGGCAGCCGGTAAAAGCTGAGAGAGCCCTGGCCGGTTTGGCTCAGCGGTTAGAGCGTCGGCCTGCGGTCCAGAGAGACCCGGGTTCGGTTCCCGCTAAGGGCATGTACTTCGGTTGCAGTTTGTCCCCGGCCCTGGTTGGTCGTGCGGGTGGCAGCCACTCGATGTGTCCCTTCACGTCGATGTTTCTCTCTCTCTCTCCCTCCTATTCTATCTGTACAAAAAATGGAAAAATATCCTCGGGTGAGGATTAAAAAAAAAAAAGCTGAGAGAAACAAGTGGAATTTTGCTGCCCACTGGCCACGTCGGTCCCGTCTGACCTGCATCACCCCTCAGGCCGGGACCCCCTGGCGTGTCTCCAGCCTCGCTTCCTGCTGGAATAGCAGTGCCTCCAAGGGTGACCCCAGCCACAGCCCCAAGCCCAATCCCTCCGACCCCCGACTGCGGGCCCCCGTGACAGCCCCGGCGAGGTCATGACAGCCCCGGCGAGGTCGTGACAGCCCCGGCGAGGTTGTGACAGCCCCGGCTAGATAGTGATAGCCCCGGCTAGGTCGTGCCCCCGAGGGCAGCAGACACTGCAGAGTTGAATAACTAGGATTTCTAAATGACAGATAACACTCTCACCATAAAAGTGACTTTTTAAAAATAGTATCACAGCCCTGGCTGGTTTGGCTCAGCGGTTAGAGTGTCGGCCTGCGGTCCAAAGAGACCCGGGTTTGGTTCCCGCTAAGGGCACGTACCTCGGTTGCAGTGTGTCCCCGGCCCTGGCTGGTTGTGTGGGTGGCAGCCACTCGATGTGTCCCTTTCACGTCGATGTTTCTCTCTCTCTCTCTTCCTCTCTCTCCCTCCCACCCTACCTTAACAAAAAACGGAAAAAATGTCCTCGGGTGAGGATAAAAAATAATAATAAGCAGATTTTCTTCCAAAGAGTACAATATGAAACGAGAAGGGAAAAGAAGAGAAACTTGACAGCGGAGAGACCTAGCAAACACGTCTGGAGCCAGGCCACGGAGCTGACTGCCCCAGCAAAGCCAGGGCGACAACATGAAGCTTTGACGGGAGGTGATGAGAACGGCACTGGCACCTGTGGTCTTCCTCCCCACCACAGGGTCGCCGTGTGATCGTGAGGGCGAACAGACAAATCCCAAGTGAGGGACACTCTACGACATAACTGGCCAGATGGCTCAAACTGTGGAAGTCACAGAAAGCAAGGGAAGTCTGAGAAACGGTCTCAACCAAGAGGAGCCTCGGAGACACGATGACTAAATCCACGTGGTGTCCTGAAGGAGACGCGGGACAGAAAGGGACACCAGGCAAAACCTGAAGAAATCTGTAAGTAGAGACTTTGGTTAACAATAATGCATCCATATGGATTATTGTGTCAAATGTACCATGCTGATGTGAAAAGTTAATAATAAAGAAAAACAGTGAGGGGTATACAAGTATCTTCACAGTAACTCTGAAAGTCTGAAACTGTTCCAAAATAAAAGGTGTTTTTTTTTTTATATTCATCACATCTAAGGTTTTTATCACATAAGCAGTCAACAGCATAAACATTAAAACTTTGGATGATATAAAAATGTGTAACTAACATATAAGAAATAGCAAATACTTATAGCAAACATGACAAAAGATTAAAGTGTATATATATTTTAAACTTCATAAGTATATGAGAAACACTGAGAAAAAAGTTAAACAGGGAAAAGATTAGCATTCATACAAAAGGAAATGCAATGTCCTAAACAAACAATGATAATATTTTAAAACTAAAACAATTAGGTATCTTTTAAGATGATGTTACATTTCAAACCACTTCACGTACACAATATTGGTAGCCACGTAAGCTGATAAAAACTCTTTTGAAAGTGTTATGGACTGAAGTGTGCCCCACTCCCCAATGCTGTGGCGTTTGGAGAAGAGGCCTCTGGGAGATCAGCAGGTTCAGACGGGATCCTGAGGGTGATGGGCCCTTTTGATGGGATTAGTGCCTTTATAAGAAGAAATACCGGAGCTAGTGTGTTCTCTCTCTCTCCCTCCCTCCCTCCACTCCTCCCCGCTGCCCCCCTCTCTCTTTTTCCCTTTTTCTCCACGGTAGCCACATGCAAGCCAGAAACAGTGCTGTCACTGGAACCTGAGCATGATGGCACCCTGACCTCAGACCTCTTGCCATCAGGTCTGTGAGAAAATAGATTCTGTTGTTTAAGCCACATGGTCTGTGATGTTTATGGTAACCTAAGGTACCTGATACAGAAGGCAATTTGTGATATATCATATAGAGAACAACACAAAGATTCATCCCTCTTAACCCAGTAATCCTACATCTGTGAAGTTAATCGTTGGTGATGATTCTAAAATATGACAAAGCTATACAGGTGAAAATATTCATTACTTAGTTTTAAGTTTTTAAACCAGTAACAACCTAAATGTCTAACAAGGATGAAATCAGTAAATACTTGTAGTGTTCCATCTGATCTAATACAATGTCATTTAAAATCGTTACAAAACTGTGTAGGTTTTCCCTGCCCGGTTTAGTTCAGAGGTTAGAGTGTCGGCCTGCAGACCAAAGGGTTGCAGGTTTGATTCCTGGTCAAGGGCAAGTACCTGGGTTGCAAGTTCGATTCCCTTGTACAGGAGGCAACCTGTACAAGTGTCTCTCTAACATCTAACATCTCTCTCTCTCTCTTTCTCTCTCTCTCTCCCTCCCCCTCCTCCATGCCTCCTTCCCTTCCAAAATGCCAGGGGTGAGGATTAACAACAACAACAAAAAGTGTAAGCTTACAGAAAATGCTTTATATGTCCTGGCCAGGTGGCCAAACACCACGTTGCAGGTTCAATCCCTGGTCAGGGTACATACCTAGGTTAAGGGTTTGGTCCCCTGTCGGGGTATGTACGAGAGACAACTGATCCATGTTTCTGTCTCACATCACTGTTTCTCTCTCCCTCTCCCTTCCTCTCTTTCTAAAATAAATAAAAACATACTTTAAAATAAAAAGAAAGAAAATTATTATTATAAAATTAAGTACAAACTGAAAGCAAAAATCTACAATATGAGGTTAACCACATAAGTTAATATGAGCAGTATGTACAGGACTCTCCTGCTTTTCAAAAATTCACCTTAACGCCACTCTACTTTTACAAAAGACCTGTAATATACCTGTTTTCACTAATGAAAAGGAAGATGAGGATTTTCACCTTGTTTTGTTTTGTTTTTTTGGTAAGGCAAAAAAGTGAAAATAGCATTCAGCATTTGTTTTGCAGCGAGCATTACGGAGGCAGCACACGCCCTGAGCAGTAAGAGTGGCCCCGCCAAGCACCTTCCCCAGAACCACAATCAGCATCTGGGCACCTCAGCACCTCAGCACCTCAGCACCTCAGCACCTTAGCACATCAGCACCTCAGCACCTCAGCACCTCAGCATCTCAGCATCTCAGCACCTCAGCATCTTAGCACTTTAGCACCTCAGCACCTCAGCATCTTAGCACTTCAGCATCTCAGCATCTCAGCACCTCAGCACCTCAGCATCTCGGCACCTCAGCACCCCAGCATCTTGGCACTTCAGCATCTCAGCACCTCAGCATCTCAGCACCTCAGCACCTCAGCATCTCAGCACCTCAGCACCCCAGCATCTTAGCACTTCAGCATCTCAGTATCTCAGCATCTCAGCACCTCAGCACCTCAGCATCTCAGTATCTCAGCATCTCAGCACCTCAGCACCTCAGCATCTCAGTATCTCAGCATCTCAGCATCAAGCAGCCATACTTTGAACTGTGTCTGTGAGCATCTGTGCTTTTTTTTATTTATTCTGCACATTCCTGCTTTTACTATATATTGTTGTTATTTTTGTGTTTGGTATATCTATGTATTATTTGGTAGGTTATTTTGGGGGTCTGGGAATGCTCAAAAATGTTTCCATATAACTTAACGGTCATTGCTTCTTTGCTTTACATCATTTTGGCTTATAAGCGGTTTCAAAAAAACACTCTACTGGGAGATAGTGGGGGAAACCTGTAAAGTTTAAGTTAACATTATAAGAAATAATATTCAAAAATATATTTGCTAGTAACTTTAGATAGATTCTTTCTTAAGTATAACCATATCCTAACTCTTGAATCAGAAAAGTGACTTCCTTCTGACAGTGGTCACTAATCTTAAAAAAACAAAAATGAAATTTACATTTTATATAAGAGAACCATCAATTTTTATTTACTACACACTTTTTATTACATTACTACTTACATAGAGATGGTTTCCAAGGCATCTTCAAAAATGTCCTGAGGAGGAACAAAAAATACAATGAGTTTCTCAAGAATCAAGAACTTTATAGGTTAACAAGAAAATGAGTATGTGGTGTGTGCAGGGCTGGGCAGTTTGGGTGAGATGAAGTGAAATCACTTAACTCTCAGTAACGAAATGTCTTTCTGAGAAAGCAAGCATATGAATTTAAGTGAGGTTTACTTTTTAAAAATAGTTAAGACTGGTAAAATTCTTGGCTAGAAATCAAACTGGGGTTATTTGAAAGAGTGTGACTTTTTTTTATTTTCTATCCTCACCCAAGGACATTTTTGCATTCATCTTCAGACAGAGTGGGAGGGAGAGAGAGAAAGAAAAACATCGATGTGAGAAAGACACATCAACTGGTCACCACCCACAGGACCCCAACTGGCGCTGGGGACAAACTGCAACGGAGGTACATGACCTTAGCGGGAACCGAACCCGGGTCTCTCTGGTCCACAGGCTGACTGACGCTCTGACTGCTGAGCCAAACCAGCCAGGGCAAGAGTATGACTTCTTTAATGGAGTTATCTTTCACTCATTCATCCCAAACAGAGAATAAAACAAACAGGATTTACCCAATTTAGTCTTCTCTTTCCCCATGGCTAGCCAGGTTGGCGTCCTCTACGCCCGTATTTTACATCTCCCTTCAGTACCCTCCGAGCTGGTCTTCCTGCCACCAGCCTTTCCCCAGTTTAGTCTGTAAATCTGTGCCACATAGGACAGCCCTTAAGGACTATGCCAGTGGCCTGTTAAAAAGCTACAACAGGAGAAAAACCCAAACCCAAACACACACACACATTTATATGCACTCGCAAATCCACACATGCACCCCACATTCATGCACACTGAGACTCACACACTCACAATCTCATACATAAACTCATAACCATACAAACACACACTCACAATTCAAACATACACAAAGCTCCCTCGTAGCTGCAAAAATCAAATCCAAGCTGCTCATCCAGGTCTAATTGTCAAACATCCTTCTCCCACATCCCTCCCACCTTGACCACAGCCCAACCACAGGACGGCACTGGTCGGTCTTCCCCCAGCTTGACACCCTTCACTCAATCCTTCACACAACAGCCATAGGTCTTCTTTTCTTTCTCTTCTTTTAGGAAGCTCGTACCATTCCACTGCTCTATACCTGTCTAAGAGCTTCCCACGGTGGTGAGAATAAACCCAAACTCCTTCCCACGGTCTAGGAAACCCCAAATGGCCCTGGCCACCTCTCCAGCCACCTGCCCCTTCCTCACTCCACATCAGACACAGGGCTGACTTCCTGTTCCCCGAACAAAGCAAACTCATCCCACACCTCTCCGAACTGCTCTCTCTCTCACAGAATGCTCTTCACTCGCTCTTCCCTCGGCCGACTCATGCTCATCCTTCTGCATTCAGCTCGGAAAGCCACTTCCTCCAGAAGACTGGCTCTAATAACCCTAATTAAAGTTACTGAAAATAGCAGTTTACTTACAGTTTTTCATCATCAGACTTATTTCATTCATAATCTTATCAAAATCTCTAAGCATCTTGTTTGTTTATTTGGCTACAGTCTGTCTCCATCAGAGCAGATTCTTTTTTTTAAAGTTTTTTTTTCGCCCTGGCCGGTTTGGCTCAGCGGTTAGAACGTCAGCCTGCGGTCCAGAGAGACCCGGGTTCGGTTCCCGCTAAGGGCATGTACTTCGGTTGCGATTTGTCCCCAGCCCTGGTTGGGTCGTGTGGGTGGCGACCACTCGATGTGTCCCTTTCACGTTGATGTTTCTCTCTCTCTCGCTCCCTCCCACTCTATCTGAACAAAATATCAAAAAAAAATGTCCTCGGGTGAGGATAAAAAAAAAAAAGTTTTTTTTTCTTTGATTTTAGACAGAGAGGAAGGGACAGGGAGAGAGAAACATCTATGAGAGAGAACATCGACTGGCTGCCTCCTGTATGCCCCCTACTGGGGATCGGGCCCACAACCTGGGCATGTGCCCTGACCGGGAATCAAACTGGCGACCTCTTGATGCATGGGTCAATGCTCAACCACTGAGCCACAAGGGCCGGGCCACAGCAGGTTCTTATTTATCATGTTTACAGAAAATTCGCCAGGGCTTGGCACAGAATTGTTACTCAGGGACTACACGTTGTCTAATGAATGAATGAATTGAGCACGGACTGTCAAGGCACTGATAATATCACCTTAGTGAGAGCTATAACATAGACATGAGAACTTTTCCCTTGTGTGGCCATTAATATTGAACAATGTTTAAACTACACTGCACTTTTTATTTAGGTAGGACAGGAAAAAAATTATATAAATACTACAAAGAAGAAACAACATAAGTAGTGGCAGAACTGAGTTTAGATGTGGCGATCCTTGATCTATTAATCTCCATAATAACATGTTCTGCAAGGTAGAGTCAAGGACAATTCCATCTTGTCCTCACTCTCCTGGGGCAACCATCAGAAGCTCATAAACCAGCCACCGGCAGAGAAATGAGCTATTCCTGAAGTAAAATATCCCAAGCCAAAAGTAAAAACATGCTTCTCTGGCCTCTATAAAAATTTCTAACTAGAAAAAGACTCCTTTCTCCAAATCAAAAGTCTGAAGAGGCTCTTTGATATCATGGCTTTTGCCATTTTGAATCACAGGTCGTCATGGGAGGGGCCAGGCAAAAGAGAGAGAATCCGCTCTCCAGAAACCCAAATCTGCTCTGACGATCGAGATCCCTCTGGCATCACTGTTAACCCCGCCGGGCTGACCTTGACCAAGTCAGGAGAAAGGGAGAGAGGCTCCTGAAGGCCTCCGTGTACCCGTCTCCCTCCTCGCAAAGCTCAGCATACAGCAGGGCACACGGCAGACACGGAAACACTGAGTGGCTTCAGAAAGGACAGTGTGGGAAAGCAGCTCTTACTTAAAAGACCAGGCTGATATTTACACTTAAACAGGAAATACGCCCGTCACCACCCTCAGAGAAAGAAAACCGAGTATCCGGTAAGAAACGGTCTTTAAGTAGCATCTCTTCACTTTGTCACATGCAGAGGTCTCTAAATAAAGCATACTACACAATGTGGCCACCGTGGCTGACAATTCTACATTGTATATTTGAAAGTTACTGAGAGTAGATCTTAAAAGTTCTTACCACAAAAAAAAGCAAAACACAAACACTATAGATATGTGAGGTGATGGCCATGCAAATCATTTTGCATAATATATGTCTTAAATCGTGATGTTGTACACCTTTAACTTATACAATGTTATGTTAATTATCTCAATAAAGTTGGAAATTTTTTTTATTAAAAAATGTTAAAGTTTCCCTGGCTGGTGTGGCACACTTGTATCATGCAGAACACCAAAAGGTCACAAGTTTGATTTCAATCAGGGCACATACCTAGGCTGCAGGTTCAATCCTCGTGCAGGAGGAAGCCAATCAATGTTTCTCACATCAGTTTCTCTCTCTTTCTCTTTCTCTCTCTCCTTCCTCTCTCTCTTTTCCCTTCTCTCCAAAACTTAATAAAAATATCCTCGAGTGAGGATTTCAAAAAAATGTTAAAACCTGTTGGGTTTTTTTTCCATTTAGATGAAAATTAAATAGAATGCCTCAATTAGTAGTGCAGAAAATCCATGGAGTTCCAGGATACTGTTCTAATCAACTAGAGATGAGGAAGGAAGAAAGGGAGGGAGGAACAGAGAGAGAGAGAGTGAGGGAGGGACGGAAGGAGGGAACTTTGTCTATGAAGGCCAGAAAAAAAGGTAAATTTTTTTTTCATTTTATAAAGAGGAAAGAGCAGAATTAAGATTTACTGATTGCCTATCACATGCCAGGGACTTTACAAAGGCCATCTCATTGGGCCCTCCCAATTTACAGCAAGTAAATCCAGTCACAGGTAATTACCTGCCCAATATTACACAACTGGTAAGTGAAGAAATTGGAATTCAATCTCAGATTTCCTTAACTCCAAAGTAGGTTTAAATGTCAATAAAACTATCCAGAACTTGGAACTGAGGCAATGGGGCAGGAGTGGAAAGGGCATGGGAGAGGGGCGGGCAGCACATCCTCAGGTCATACTGCAGCGTGTTGGAACAAGCCCTCCCAAGGACTATTTCATTCTCTAGGAGAATGTACTTGTGTTTGATTTTTTATTTTTTATCTTTATCATTGAGACTATTACAGATGCTCCCACTCCTTTATTTCCCCCTACTGCCCACCTTCACCAGGTTCTCTCCTCACCCCAGGCCTCACCACCCTAACATTGGTGTCAATGGACAAAGAATATATGCATATAAATTTTTGGTTAAACTCCTCCCACTCTACCCCCCTTCACTCTGAGATTCAAAAGTCTGTTCCATGTTTCCAGGCCTCTGGTTCCATTTTATTCATGAGTTTATTTTATTCATTAGAGTCTGCATATAAGTGAAATCATATGATATTTATCATTCTCTGCCTGGCTTATTTTGCTTAGCATAATAACCCCCAGGTCCCTCCAAGCTGTCTCAAAGGGTAATAGATCCTTATTTTTTACAGCTGTATAATATTCCATTGTGTATATGTGTCACAGCTTTTGTATCCATTCATCTACTGATGGGCACTGGAGCTGTTTCCAGATCTTAGCTATTATAAATAACACTGCTGTGAACATAAGGGTGCATATATTCTTTTTGGTTGGTGTTTCAGGATTCTTAGGATATATTCTTAGCAGTGGGATCACGGCATCAAATGGCAATTCCACTTTAAATTTTTTGAGGAAACTCCACACTGTTTTCCCTAGTGGCTGCACCAGTCTGCATTCTCACCAGCAGTGTACTAGAGTCCACTTTTTTCCACACCCTCGCCAACACTTGTTGTTTGTTGATTTATTGATGGTAGCCATTCTGGCAGGTGTGAGGTGATACCTCATTGTAGTTTTAATTTGCATCTCTCTGATAATTAGTGTCAGAGCATTTTTTCATATACCTCTTGGCAATTTGCATGTCCTCTTTGAAGAAGTGTCTATTTAGGTTCTCTGCCTATTT